TATGAAGGAAGGAAGGCTGGTGAAAAGTTGGCAAGAGTCATGAAGGTAATTTATTTCTACAAACTGTATTAAATTTTCTGCCAAATGAATTAATGACAACCAAATATTATGGAATTTAAAAGTGTTAAATTGTGTAAATTTCAATTAGTAGTTATTCATTTCTTCAAAACCTTTTTCTTCAAAAAAATATTAGGGTAAGACAAGAACTTACGAAAGTTATTCGAAAGTACGGAAAGTCTATCAATCCTTTAAGTTAATTATGTTGTTTGTGACATATAATTTTTACTTTTAAGGATGAATTTATATTAAGTATTGTTTCAATCATTTCTAGCTTTCAACTGGTGCTGGAAACTTAGGCGTTTTGATTCCAAAGATTGCTTCGCTGTTGCGCAGGTTTGCTACTATAAAAAACCCATCAGTTCGGCTGCGAAATTTGTTTCGTGACTTTTGGTTTTGTTGTACAGTGCTCGGATTTAATGTTGCTCGGATAGGTTGGTTCTTTTTACAACAATATAAAACTTCTGTGAATTAAAGAGGAACATTGGATATGTGCTGCAGTCGCTGTTACGTAACTTAATTCTCATTAACTCTTGATGTATCTATTGATCTATTGGGGAAGAGAATTGATTTATTGTGCATTATTCATCTGCAAAAATACGTGTAAATTAAACTTAGGTCTTTGGCCAGAAGAGTGGTTTGAAGCTGCTTGTGAGATTGCTTGTAAGTCACCTGTACTCACACCTCAAGAGAGTCTTCGTGCTGAACTTGTTGCAAATGCTACAATCAAAAGCAATAATGTATTACCGGTTTGTTTCAAACATAAACTCAATGTTGTTACTGTTGGTAATAGTTTCTCATTTCATGCCACAGTTGGTGAATGGTATGTAGGTTTAATAATCGAGAACACACACATTCTGTGCTGTCAGATTGAACTAGAGAATAATGAGTTAGTTCATCTAGCGGTAGCTTTAGTCTTCCACTCGTCTGAAAAATGGCCGTAATCATTAAAAATATTGTTTTCCTCATCATATGTTGATTGATCCATAGAAATTATAAATGTTCAAAAGCATATATAATTTTTTTATTTTAAGGCAGAATTGCAAGAAATCAGAGTAACTATTTTGTCCGAAATTTCTTCTTCACCCGAGGTAACAGTGGTTGTCAATAAATTGGAATTTACCCATTGTATTTATCTCTTATCAGTATTTCGCATGGAGCTCATGCGTGCATTGCACTCTACAGAACCGGGAGCAGTCCATTCAATATTTCAATATCTCGAAGACAAGTAATTATATTGATACTTCATTACTTTCATAGTGACTTATGGCATGATAACACTTTAATTAGTTTTCTCGAACTTGATAGCTTGACCATTTTACCAGACCATGTATTAGCATTTGTTCAAAATATTTAGAATTAACGCTTGCATGAGCAGGCAATAATAAAATGTTAAAAGTGATCTGTTAAGATATTTTTTTTTTGAGGTCTATAAGAAAAGACAAGGACGGGATTTGGACATGTCTTCTTGCGGCAGCAAGAACCATCTTCAGTAAATATTTAAAAGTTGCCAGTGATCGGAATTTAGATTCAGCTCACGAACGTCAGCTTGAATTGCATGCTCAGTTTCTGCTTATCATGTTCAACCATCATCTAAAAGAGGTGAGAATAGAAATTTGTTACTCAAGGGATTGTAGTTTGATAAATGCTTATTCCGTTCAGAATATTACAGGTAAGGAAATGCGCAGATACTTGTCTTACCAATTTAATCGGCAGCTTTCCTCATTTACTTTGGAATGGCAATATTATTAATGTTGCACTACAAATACTGGAAGCACTTTCAAACAATCTCGAAAATGATACTGATTGCGAAATAATGACTTTGTCTTTTCCATCTCTGCATCGAACTATACAACTTCAGGTGTTTTGTCAATAACATATATTATTTCGTATATTTCTTATTCCACGAAATCGAAATTTGGGTTTGCATTCTTATAATTTGTAGTACTTCATGTTTGTTTTCATATTTTTACTGTATTTTTTGGAGAAACGCAAATGTGACTTAAGGATACCCTGGATCGAAGGAAATTAGTGGTACAAGACTTTTCTTTGCGCTGTGAACAAATTCTTCAGGAGGCAATCAAATGGGCACCAGGCAGTACTCACAGCTATTTTGTTGTAAGTTTCCATTGATATTTGGTATGTTATGTTTACTATAGAAAAAAACCTTTTTTATTTTTTATTCACAAAGGTCATCTACCAAAATATCACGTGTTCTTGGGAATTACACCGTTTTATTGAAACGTTGATGAAATTTGAAAGTTTATTTTAAGGATCAAAAATGAATAATATTATCTTTTAAGAAATATATTGCGAGTATTAATCCTGGCTGTTCTGGCAGTTTTCGTTTGACAGTAGAAGCTATACTAAAAAGTCTAAACGACGCATCTGGCTGTACAATTGATACCAGCCCACCTCTTTATCTTTCTGCTCTACATTTAAGATCATTATATCTTGGCAAGGTGAAATTTTATATTTCTGCGTTATTTTTTTTTAAAATTCAATAAATCACGTTTTCCATCTAAGAAAATTTTTGCTTGTCAGTTTAGGTAAAGGGCATGATAGAGACATCGAAAGCTGAAGAAGAGACTAGACCACAAGAACGGCTTGCTAATTTGTTTGAGCAGCAACTGGAAAAAGCTTGTAAAAATGGATGTGATGAAGAAATGCCTGAGTCCATACTGAAACTAGCAGCTCTTTTCATTTTAATGAAAGAAGTGTCTAATCAAAGTAATCATTTTACTTATGAGAGAATTTACACGCTAAAAAATCGTTTATAGTAACAGTCGATCAATAAATGAGTTGCATATTTGTGGTCTTAGATAATAAGATGCTCACGTAAATAAGTCGTTCTTCTCAATAAATGTTTCTTGTTCCACGTATTAGACCGAATGGTTTCTGTCATATTTAGCGTAACTATTAAGATTAGATTTTATGCCTTTGATCATGGCTTTTATTATAGCTAAAAAACGTGTTACAGAGCTGGAAAGCCGCTTGTTACATATCCTTGTTTTTGTACCACTCAAAAATTTCACTGCTTCAACAATGCGTCTTTGTGTAATCGTGTGGAACTGGATTCTTATAGCTCGAGAAGATATCCAGCTTCAAGTAAGGCGACATTGTTATTTCAGATATCAAAAACCTTGTTGTACTGTTATCAAATAAAATGTCTAACAAAAATTGAATTCAGTTTCTTCGAGAAATGACGACGTGTTGGACAATTACGGCCCAAGATCATCTAGGTATTTTTCAACATGATTCGGAGATTATTTCTCCTTTAAGTTTGCAATATGACTCAGCTCCGAAGCGACCGCATATTCTTCCACACAGCATATGGATTTCTGTAAGCTTAATTTTGTAGAAGACATAATTATTGAAAGTTTTCATTGCGAAAATCAATAATCAGATGATTTGTGATGAAGGGAGCCAGCTGAACGTGACCCTGTGTTTCTGAATTTTGAAGCGTTGTCTTGGAAAAAGGAAACTTTGGAATTTTTAGTTTTTGGCAGAAAGAGTGGATATTGCTAAATATTCAAGCAGAGAACAGCTAGATATTTTGGAATTGATGTTTTCTCAAACACTTCCACTGAACGTGGGTCGTCTGAAAGTAGATGCTAATTCATCGACATGTATTTCTTCCGATTCGAGTCTTTGCAAAGTCGATCGAGCACATGGTTATTTTTTGTATCTTATGTCGAATGTGTAGTTTTATGAATGGAGAAAATTAGGAATCCATGACATTCATTGCGGATATACCATGTTTTAATTTGAATTCTTTTTCAAACTATTCGAAATTTTTCTATTTTTCAGTTGCAATGACAAGAAATGTTGAGGCGATTGGACTACGGTGTCATGTTCTTAACTGTGTGCTTTCCATGATACAGCGTGATTCGATATCATTTCGTATTTCCAAAAATATCTTGCGACAACGCGTATATTATGCGATGTTGGATTACTTTTCGTATGTTGTTTTGTTTTGCAACTATCTAAACATTCCGAATTTTCCTAATAGTTTTTTTGCCTGATTGTAGTGTTCCTGCTCAAACGCCAACGCAGAACGCAGCGCAGTTGAAGAATGACATACGATTGCTGATCATGTTTTGGAATACCCTTTTCTCGGATGTGAAATATATCAAGAAAGAAATATTTGCTAGCGTTGGTAGGCATTTTTGTAGATTGGTTTTTTCTATCTTATTATTACTCACATCTGATGATAAGTATTATAGACACTGAACTCAATTTGGAATCTTTCCAGCAGATTTTAAATGATAACTGCAAGTCCGACACGGCGTATAAGTAAGTTTTGTATGCTTTTATATTTTACATTTTTTTCTCCCATAAATTTAATATTTTTGGTTGTATTTGCCTATTTTATAAAGTATAGTGGTGTAATTTAGTCGTGCTGACATGCAAACTCGTCATGCAATGACAACCAGCAATTGTAATTGGGTAACGCTTGTAGCTGCACAAGGCAAAGGTGGTTCGCTACAAAAGAATACACTCAATACCAGTCAGGTTTTTTTGTAAATTCGGGTTTTGGTTTAGTTGTAATTATCCAACTAAATGTCGACAATTGTGAAATGAATATACGTATATTCATTAAAAAAATTGTTGAACCAGACAGAAAAGTGGTAAAATTCCTCTAAAAAACGTGATTCTGGAGTTTTTTAAAATTAATTTTCGAACTATAAGGATTTATATACCAACAGAATTTAGTAACTTTGATAATGAGAGTGAAATCAATAGTAACATGTTAGAAAATCGCAATGACAACACTTTTACTAAACAATTCGAAATCTAGACAGGGATTTATCTTTCCGGTATCGTTCCGTTCTCATTAAGACTCGAGCCGAAGCTTCATGGAATTTGTTTTTTTTTTTTTAAATGGCTTTTTTCGTAGAGCTTTTAAAAAAATGTAATAGCACAGAGGAAAGGTACGTACGTACAGTTTCTCCCGGAGACCCAATTGCTTGTTTCAGCACAACTTAAAATCTTATGTATAGGTTTAGTGAGTCGAAAATATCAAATGTTGATTTTCCTCATCTTTGTTATATAATTATAATTTTATAGCATTATATTAATAGATTGTATATTATATGTTGTAGTAGCTTTTTTCTTGGCTTCCAGATCTCAATCGATCCAATCCAAACAAACATGCAGAACAGCAGATGAAACTATACAATCGCTATCGAAATTTGATTTTGATATTTGTTGTAAGCATAGTTACAATATTTCGTGTACTATTACATATTTCAATTTCACTTGCAGTTTCAGTAGCTTTCTAGGCAAATGAAATCGAACGCTTAAGTGCATGGTTAAATCCGTTGGGTGAAGCTCTGGGTTTGGAAGATGCAAACATTGAACAGTGGCGAAAATCAACATTTCCCGATGCGAGAACAGAGGCTAAGCTTCTCCGGGAAAATGTCAAGATTGCTTGGCAGATTTGCCCCGAACTGGCAGTGTATATGCCATCAAGGCAATAATTGTTGTCTTTTTAAAACAATGTTTCGAATTAATTTTTTTATAACACAATATCAAGCATTTATTTTCCATGTTTTTGTATTGCTCTTTAGATTTCGTTCTTGCTCTGCTTGTCAGACGGCTGTCCAAGAGCTGCTCGTTGATTCGCCGGAATTAGTGACCGATTTGCCTGAAGCTCTTTCTTTGATGTTGGGAGAAGGAAAGATTCTTGAAGAAAAAGTAGAGGTAAATTCATACTTTATGTTTCAAATTCACCAATGAAAAAACAAGATTATTCATAATTTTTGATGAAAAAATACATTCACTAGATAAGAATTGTGCGAACAAGATTTAGATGATCAAAATTAGCTAATAGTTTTCTATTTGCGTAGTTGCAACGGTTTTTGCAGTATTCTTTTACTTTCATTAGTATGTTCTGGGGAGTTTTGATATTACGAATAAAATTATAGTGAAAATTTCAGACAGTTTAATCAAATAATGCTGAGTTCAATCAAAATCTTATTTAGTCGTTTGCTACCAAGTTTCTACTCATTATAAGGGATAAAAATAATTTTTTTCCTTGATTTTCAATTTCAAAATGCTAATATTTTAACAGGATTTGAAAACATTAAGTCACATTTTAACTTGGGCAATATGTGATCCAGTGATGGCTTTATCATTGCTCGGTGCACGTCAGTACCCGACACATCCCATTACAGTGCAGTATGCTGTGCGTGTATTGAGATCATATCCACCAGATGTGCTTCTGCTGTATATTCCGCAGCTTGTTCAAGCATTAAGACATGATACGGTATATTTCGTCAAAAAATTCCGATGACTTTTTAAAGTATTTTTACGCGCCGTTTCACTTTTCAACACATCATAAACAATTTCTATGTAAATTTCTAGATGGGTTATGTTGCTGAGCTAATTATGTGGTTGGCTGGTCATTCGCAACTTTTGGCTCATCAGTTACTGTGGAATATGCAGGCAAATATGTATAGGGACGAAGATTCAAAAGAAAAGGATCCCGATTTGCATGGACTTTTAAGCGAATTGATCAATAAGGCATAGTTCCTTAAATTTCTATTTGTTTCTCTTACATTTCAGTTACTTATTTTCAGATTTTTTTATTTAGATAATATCAAATATGGAAGGCGCTGCACGAAAATTTTACGATAGCGAGTTCGATTTATTTAAGCAAATCACTGATATATCCGGTAAAATAAGGCCATTCCCAAAAGGTGAATCCAGAAAAAAGGCCTGTTTAACTGCTCTTGCTGAAATACATCTGAAAACTGTGACCTATCTGCCATCTAATCCAGAAGCAATAGTTCTGGATATAGATTACAAAAGTGGAACTCCGATGCAAAGGTATGACTGTATGTCGTTTATGAATGAAAAGTATTTTTAGAAATTTTATAAAACTTTCATAACCATTTTTAGTGCTGCCAAGGCTCCATTTCTGGCGCGATTCAAGGTTCTTCATTGTGGTATCCAAAAATTGGAACGATTAGGAGTCGCTGCACATCAACAGAAACACACTCTGGAAGCAGATATTCGATTTCTTTCGAGATCAGAAGATAGTTCCATTTGTTGGCAAGCAGCCATCTTCAAAGTTGATATTTTTTGTTTTTGCATTTGTATGTTTCTTAATTTGTCTTTACTTTTCTCCAGCTGTGACAAAATCATAAATTTCACTATTTCTTTACTGAGGCTCTCATTTGATCAGAATTGTAAATGGCTTTTTACTTCAGGTTGGTGACGATGTGCGTCAAGATATGTTGGCGCTACAGCTGATGAGCCTGATGCGTAACATTTTTAATTCTGTGGGCTTGGACATTCGCTTATTTCCATACAGAGTTGTAGCTACTGGACCTGGCTGTGGAGTAATTGAATGTGTTCCAAATTCGAAATCAAGAGATCAGTTGGGACGGCAGACTGATTTTGGTTAGTCTCATTTTTTTTCAAAGTGGCAGTGTCAAAAAGTTGTAAAATGAATTGCAGGGCTGTATGAATACTTTCTAACAACATATGGTGATGAAAACACTGAAACGTTGCAACTTGCAAGGCGAAACTTCATTCGAAGCATGGCGGCATACAGTGTATTCAGTTTCTTGCTGCAGATCAAAGATCGACATAATGGAAATATTATGATTGACAGTGATGGCCATATTGTCCATATTGGTTGGCTATTTTTCAGTATTTTATTTTTTGAACAGGTTTGTGTATTTTTATTCCTATTTGATTTTTTCGTCAAAAATAGTTTTTTAGATTTTGGCTTCATGTTTGAAAGCAGTCCAGGAGGAAATCTTGGGTTTGAGCCAGACTTTAAACTTTCGCAAGAAATGGTAGCAATTATGGGTGGCAAAATGGAAGCTGCAAGTTTTCGATTATTTGCTTCGCTTTGTGTCCAAGCATATCTGGCTGTTCGGCCCTATTATAAAGTGCGTAAATTTCTCATTTTTAATACCCGAAATGTTTGTTCTGCATACTTCAGCATGAAATTGCATACTTATTTTATTAAAATTGCAGGCCTTTATTGCTTTAGTATCACTGATGCTGGACACACATCTTCCATGCTTCCGTGGGAAAACAATACAGCAGTTCCGAGATCGTTTTGCACCACAGCTGTCTGATCGTGATGCAGCGAAGTATATGATGAGTATAATACGCAATTGTTTCTTGAACGTACGAAGCAAAATGTACGATCAACTGCAGTATATACAGAATGAGATACCATATTAATTTATCAATGATTGTTCGAAGTTTTATACAGATCCATTAGAATTCAAGGCTTTCGAAGAACATTTTACTGATTTTTTTTGAATCATTCTGTGTTGATCGAAATCACGTGACATAATGTACATAATTTAAATATAATATTTAACTGTAAAAATTATCTGCAAATTTGATGTTCTCTATCATTAGTTGAGAAGTGCGCTCGTATGGTGGAAGGCCTACGATATCATTATTTTAGCCTCTTATCTTTGTGAACTTGTTAGTTGGTCCATTAATTGAACATTAAATGTAGTAAATACACAAGAAAATTGCTAATACTTCTTAAAGATAAAGGACGAAATATCGTCGTAGGAGTAATGGTTTTAGATTCGCCTCACATTAATGCTTTTGATTAGCTTCATCACTTACTGGTTGTGGCACCAAGGCATCGAGGAGGAGATTATTTTGATGGAATAGGCGTTGAATATTGCTCGAAATCATTGAAAACTTTTTCATTGTTTACAAATGGATGTTTGGAAAATCTAGAAGAGTTCTATTTTCAACGATTAGATCTGGAAAAATAGGACGGTGGCAAATAAAGTCTGTTTTCCAACTTTTCTTTTTTAACCATATTAGGGCATATTTAATGCTACATATCTGGCTTATGCAAGACTGATCTGTGAGGTTAGTATGCAATTATGCGTATTCATTGATCAAAAATCTGGCCAATCGGATTTCTACAATTCGGCTTGAAAATATACTTTGTTGAAATTCAATTAGCTCATCATTTCATTATGTATATTCATCTTCGGTACTGATCAGCAAGTACATCTGTGCAATATTGTAAAAACCCTGAAAACATAACTTTCCTATTCTGAGCTATGCTTATTTTTTTACATTATCCATAGATTTTTTGAATATTTTCAGTCTCCTAAATCATCAGAAAAAATTGCAGTTTGGGAAAATGTTTAGATTTTCATTATGTTGCATTAGAAGTATCGGTGGAATTCTGAACAATATCACTGTGGACCATAATACTTTTAGCTGACTAGTGTTTTCCAGATTTTTGTCCTCAATCATTTCAAATTTTGGATTTATTTGTTCAATGTTCACAACTTAATTTTAGATAGAAGAAACATCCAAGTTTAAAGAGTTTCCTTGGAAAATTAATAAAAGTCCAAAACATAAAATTAAAGTGTTCGTTCGACTATTGAAATCAGTTGTTCGGAAGATTATTGACAATCGAAATCAAATTCCCTAGTGCCTGAATCTTTCTATAGAAGTAAAGTAATCCCTAAGATCCTTTTCAGTTCTATAGATTCAAACATTATAGAATTCAAAAACTAGTGATTTGCCAGTGAACTGCTTCATTGGTGAACAAAGAATATCAAAATTGAGGATCCTTTGTGTGATCAAAGCTTTAATTTTTTAAATTGAATCAATTGCGACTAGTGAAATTCTTTGTTCGTTAATTTCTGATTCGCGTATCGTGCAGGACAGATAGTAGGTAGAAAAATAATGAAACTTTTAATTAGAGGATGAATTTGAAGGAACCGAATCAGTTACTGAATGTTAACTGATGTCTAAAATGAAGTACAGCTTTGTCGTTCAAAATGAGCAAACCGGGACCCTGAATCATTGTCATAGACAAATTTAATCTTCAATACATTCACCGTTCTGTCCTTCGTTCTGGCTTCATTTAAAAATAGGAAGTGTTGGAGTTTATTCTCCTATTACATGTGAATCATTCTTTTAAATGCAATACAAACCAATATGTAGTTGTATGAGTCATTATTTTGTATTGTAGCGACCGCAACACCGTCCGACAGACTCTATTGTTTAATATCTATTCTCATTTACTATTCGCAGTTGAATCTCTCACTCTCCATCAATGCCATCAATCCCATTTGATCGTCTATATCACAAGATTGTAACTATGAAATTTCGTGAATTCTTTTCACTTATAGATTGAAATTGGTGAAATTTGCATCTTTTATTAGAAGCGCTGTTCATTTCAAATTTTTTTAATTTTGGATTTTTGCCATATTTTTCTCCAACTTATCTCATAAATTTCTGCATTATTTCCACAACTTTCTCCGAACTTATTTTACAGTCCTCCTCCATCTTCCTCCTCCATCTTCCTTTTTCATCTCCGTCTTCATCTCAACCACAATCTAAAAAGTATGAAATTGACTATTGTGACGATGTCATCAGTTCAAGCCATTAACAATTTATTTGCAAACTTCACAATGCAGTATTGAAGCTTTCATATTTGTTTCTTAGTGCTTCGTATCTTCTCATGGCTTAGCTCAAGTTAACCTCTGCTTGAACTTATCCATTTTTATCACCTACTGATAATTCTTAAAGATCTACAAAAGATATTTTCCAAGTACCATTACTAGTATTAAATATTTTATAAATTAGTCCACTCTGCCATAATGCTCTTCATTATCCATGGGGACATTTTCTTGGACTGGTAGAAAAGAAAAGATAACTTCTTCCACTACTGCTTAGTGCTCTTCTATCACTACTTCTGTGCTATTAAGATCCATTGGACGAAATTTCTACTCAAAACCTGGGCGATATCCCAATTATCAATGGATAGCTTAAGAGATTATATTTCCGCTCATTATCACTGATATTTTATTTAATTTTTTTTCTGACATTTGATTCTAAAATTCCTTTGGAAATTGTTTGTTTTTGCTTTCTTGCGTTCATCTTTTATGGCTTTGGTTTTATTTGGAAGAAAATTTAGCTTTAATTAAAATTAAATGGAAATTAATTTAAGACCACAATAACAAACAAAAATATGAGTTATTGATAGATGACCAGTTGATTAGAAAGATCTCTTTAATCGGTCCCATTCACATCCCTTATTCAGTAAATAATTTTCGGTTTGGATGAAGGTTTACTGATAGGTGGAAATAAACCTCTTTCAACAGAGATGATAAAATATGGATCGATTACTATCACTCTAAACTTCCCTATGAGTTTACCTTTGATTTGAATGTTATCGAGAACAAAAAAAAATATCTCGAAAATTTTGCCCAGAAGACGTCAATTTTTTGTCTTTCCACATTTTTTGCATAGAAAAATGAGATGCAAATATTTGAGAGCGGGTCAAAATAGGCAAGGAAGGACAGGACAGGAGAAGGGAAAGAGGAAGGAGGACAGAGTGACAGCTATTGTTGTCAATCCGAAGATGGGATCATAAGTGCCAGTGAGTCAAAGCTCTACTCAAAAAGTTCCTTCAATTCTTCTATTCCCGTTAGCATCGATTATTTGTTAGCTTTCTCTCTTCCTTTTCTTGCTTAGTTCTGCATTTCAGATGAATTCGTTTGTTATCCTATCCTCCACCATATTAATTCAAACAGTTTAAGAAAAAAGGAAAAGAACTAATCGATGCTTTAACGCCGCATCCTAAATGGAAGGTGATGAAATAAGCGTTAGACTGGCTGCTAGAGTGACTAACCATCGAAGATTGTCCCAAGCAGATATAATGGTTGTCGTGGGAACATTTCTTGTTCTAAAAAACTATTTCACTTTTTTTCGCTCACATATTGAAAATTTTTCGAAGCATCTGAGTAGGTTTGCATTTTCCAAATCATATTTCATATTCTTTTTTTTTCTTTCAAATTCCTATAACAAAATTCACTTCTCTGTAACTATTTAATTAGGAATCAGTTGTTCATCAACTATAATTTTAGTTTTACTATCATTAAATGGCTGATAAAATCTTTTCGTTGTTAGAATCACGACGACTGTACTGAACATTGTATTATCAGATTTAAGAATGGTGATATACGATATATATGATAATTTCACTCCATTGTGTATCTTATCATCAGATATTGTTAAACGAACTGATCAGTAGAGATATCTGCAAAAGATGTTATATCATTTTTACTGTAGCATGGGAAATATACTATTGATTATCGTTATTGCAACCTATCGATATCATTAATGATCATTTAATAGTTTTATAGTATTTCAACAAAAAATTTGAATTCTTTGAAATATACGATAAAATCATAACTATTTCTGTGTAATGTTATGATTTTGCATCTCATACTTTATCATCCTATTAAAATGACCTGTGAGACAGAAATATACATATATCTCTGGGGTATGGCTAATCGATTTTAGACAAAAATTTTTGTAAAGGATGGAAATTTCTTGTGAGGATGATGTATATCTATCAATGGGAAGCATTTCCTTTCTCATTTTGATACTAATTTTCGAGAGGAAGATGACTTAAATCAAACTGATGCACTTATAACTCTTCTTTTCTATTTCGGTTCATATTGATGCATAATTTATTCCTTTATCCATTATTCAAATGTAAAGTATGCCGAGCATTTCATGCCTGAAGGCTCAGAAAGGCACCATCCAATTGTAGATTGAAAATGAAGATCAGGGACTATTAAGGATGGAAAATGAAATGCAACTTGCATTATGTATGAAAACATTTTTGCTTGTTTGCAGTGCAGTTAGTAGATTGCAGAAATGCTATGCATACATTTATAGATCATTCATTCCTTGAGCATTATTTTCCTGACCTCATCCTTCTCAATTATTCCTAACTTCATTTGAGGCATTCAGGTGTTGCAGTTGAATTATTACAGTCCGATTTAAATTTTGATGTGATTGGTTGGTCATTTTGCTAGTGACAATCGGCCATTCATCCGGCTAGCTTTCTACAGTCTCCTCTTCAGAGCCATTATTATCTCGCTAATTACTTCGTCTCTTAAAAAAAACAAGTACGAAAAACAAAAGATAACACACCATCTATTTGTTTTATAATTAAATTATGATAGTATTTTTTTAACGTTTTAGATATTTAGTTCTTTTGAAGCAGTTTTGCTTTACGTAAATTTTTTTAAAGTTCGTTTTCATCGAACATTTCAAAGCAAAAATTGAAGCTTGCTGTGCATTTTATTTTATTTTAATTTAAAAATTCATGTGCTTCAATTTGCAATTCCATCAATTTCCATTTAAGTTTGAACTAAAGAATAGAAATTTAAATG